GATGTGCCCTGACCACCAGGGTGGCAGACGCTCAATGCAGGAGCTGCCCTCTGGTGGTCAGTGCGCTCCCATAGCCAACCTCCCCTGGCCCCTCCCCCCAGCCAGCCAACCTCCCATGGCCCTTCCCCCCGCCCTTGCTCCCTGCCAACCTCCCACGGCCTCCAATTGGCCCTGATCACTGGCCAGGCTGAGGGACCCCGCCCGTGCATGAATTCGTGCACCGAACCTCTAGTGTGTGTGTATGTGTGTGTGTGTGTGTGTGTGTGTGTGTGTGTATATGAGGCAGAAATATAATTAAACACTTTTAGTATATTCTATTCTATTTTAGTTTTTAAAATGCTGGTTGGAACCACTAAATTAATAACATCATCCACTGTTGGGTCATGGCCCACAGTTTGAAAAAACTGATCTACAGAGACTTTAACAAGCACTGCGGTTATAAAAAGGCTCCTATAGTATGGACATTAAGTACTATGAGAACAGCATTTTTTTTTTACAAAAGATCCAGAGATATTCTTGAAAAAAACTAATTTTACTTTATGTAGGCTCTTTAAAAAGTGTCACACAGAAGATGAAACCTCGATGTAGAGTCTTTCTGAGTAAAGTCTTCCTTAGCTACTCCTGTTGTCCAGGAAGGTGCTCCCTGTTGGTCTGTCTGTACACAGGGTAGCTTGTAGAGAATCACTGGGATGGAGAGCAGTGTTGCTGGGGTCTAATTAATTCGATGTTTCAGATGAGTCTTTAAGTTCCAGGTTGTGGTCAGTTTCACCATTGAACTCTCGGTATTGATTGTGTGGCAGTATCTCTGGGATGAGCTGCTTTGTGGAGAATCCTTTCGAGGGTGGTGGTTTTACAGGGGCTTGATATATGCTATTCCAGCATTACTTCCCTACATGTTCAGCTGGCCTGTTAACAAGGATACCAGTTTCCAAGGGCAGGACAAGTGAAATGTGGAGTTCCAGGGGTGTATTTCTTGTTTGGTTTCATTTCTGACACTGATGTCTTGCACTGAATGAAATTCTACGAGGGAAGATGGAGGAGAAGCAGGCGGATTGATTGTCAGTGCTCAGGACATACCACACGCGGAATGATAGAAATCTTTCCCCAGGTTAAATTATATATGAGAAAGGGATGTGGCCAGGCATTCCAATTCATTCTCACATAATGTGGCAGATTAGAAAGCAGTGGCCATATATGGATGTCACTATGTTAAGTTATTTTCCTGTTCTAACATGGGGACAGCTAGGGTTCCTGAGTTCACTTTCACCTGGAAATATTGCCAAGAACCATATTTAATACACAAATTAAGAGGCGTTACTTCACAAAAGCTCATTGTTCCTTCCCTAAAGGGAAAGAATTGGCTAGCAATAGCTCTGTACTGTGGATCTGTATTGCTAGTTTCTTCACCTTTGTGTCAAAATTGTCAGCTGAGAAGAGGGTATTTGGCTCTATGTTTACAGAGCTGTTTCTTTGGCCTTTTCCTATTTGTTAGCTTGGGTGTTTTTTTTGTGTGTGTGTGTTTTTTTCATGCATTCAACATTGAGTTTCCATTATTTGCCAGCTTCAGTGTTACTTGCTAATGATACAAAATGGGTAAAATCAGACAAGTCCATAATTTTGTGGAATTTACAGTCCAGTAGAAGTTAGATAATGAAGCAATCTTGCAAACTAATGTTTCTGATAATTTCTGTGAGAGAGAATGCATGGTGTTATGGGAGCGTAAAATTAGGGGACTTGTACTACTAGTCTGGGAAGTCAGAAAGCTGGATGGCTGAAGAAGTTAGCTCAATGAGATGGTGAGAAGGTGGAGAGAGGGTGGGTAGAAGCCAGATAGTTTAAATTATATTAGGGATTCTCTTTAAGAGCAATAGGAAATCAACTGTTTTGAGCTGGAAGGGTTATTTTAGTATTAGTATTATTTTTAACCCTCATCCAGGGACATGCTTAGAGAGAGGGAGGGAGGGAGAGAGAAGAGAAGAGAAGAGGAAGAGGAAGAGGAAGAGGAAGAGAAGAGAAATATCGACGTGAGAGAAACATCGATCAGTTGCTTTCCATACATGCCCCCACTGGGGACTGAACCTGCAACCCATGTGTGTGCCTAGGAATTGAACCGGCAACCTTTCGGTGCACAGGACGACACTCAACCAACTGAGCCACTCTGCTGGACAGGAAGGGTTATATTTTTATCAACAATTTAGATGACAGCACAAAAAGGTATGTTTGCCAGATTGAGGGGGAAAGCAAGCTGAGAGGCACAGCTAGTATGGTTGATGGCTGAGTCAACCTTTAAGATGACTGCAGTTATCTGGAAGGATGAGAGGGGGCTGAATTTCAGCAGTGATGAATATGAATGATCCTTTTGTTAGTGCAAACTCTCATATGACATGATTGGTACTTGTGGTTAATCAAGAAATGTTGGGTAAAATGGAAAAATATTTTAAAAGGTTATATATAAATACATACTTCGAACATACTACCTTTCACTTAAAATGGATAAATACATATTCACTTGCCAGTCTTTGGATGTAGGCACAACACTCATTCTTCAAGGCTAGGTTCTTTTTTTTTTTAATATATTTTATTGATTTTTTACAGAGAGGAAGGGAGAGAGATAGAGAGTTAGAAACATCGATGAGAGAGAAACATCGATCAGCTGCCTCCTGCACACCTCCTACTGGGGATGTGCCCGCAACCCAGGTACATGCCCTTGACCAGAATCGAACCTGGGACCTTTCAGTCCGCAGGCCGACGCTCTATCCACTGAGCCAAACCGGTTTCGGCACAAGGCTAGGTTCTTAAATGATGGTTTATTTTGCATAAACTGCATTAAAATTAAGTTTTGGATTCTTTAAAGTGGAGTGAGAACCAGACACATTTGAAGTAATCTGAGTACAAAATTCTTTTAGATTTTCATAATCACCCCCCCTCAAGCCTTTTATAGTTGTTTCACCCACACCTAACTTTTCAGCAGTTCTTTTGAAGTATCTTGCTTTTATCTAGTATTCAACCTCATTTTTCTCTTTTCTTTCACATTTACATTTCAGTGGTTATGTAATATTTAGTTAAATTATAATAAGAATAACGTATGCAGCAGGCATAAACAGGTAGGGCAGTGAGTGTCAGTGACTGATTTGAAGCAGATGACTGAACCACATGGGGACAGATGTGCACTGTGAGCTAGTTATAGGCATTCAGTGTGTGGCGGTGTGTCTTACAGAGGGAGAAGGGAGCATCAGTCCTGGGAGATTGGAATTTAGGTTGGGTGCAGTGTATGTGGGACACACAAAAGCCCCATACCTGTTGAAGACTTTCTCCTGAGTTTGTAAGTGGCTGCTCCATGGAAGATAAACACTTCATTATAAAGTTTTTTACCTTCAGTTCAATATTCTGAATAGATGAACTTTTTCACTTTTATACTTTAGGTTAATTTGTTAGGGTTGTGTTTTTCTCTCTTGGTTCACTTCTGACTTACTAAAATCTCAATCTGTAATTATTTTATTTGTAATGAGATGAGACACAAACATTTTGTGAACTTTTCCTGTATTCCAGAATGTGTTCATGTGCTGATTTTATTACAATCCAGAGTAACTGATTTCCAGTATTTGTGAGGGATTATTTTTTTATTGACTTATGGTGAACATGGTCTCTGGCATAACACTTCCTGCGTTTGAATCGGTTCTGCCACTTCTTATCCAAGCCTTTGGGCCAGTTCCTTGAGTATTCTGAACCCGTTTGCTCATCTGTAAAGTGGAATTACTGAAAGCACAACATTGGCTGTTCTGAGGATTACATGAATCTATACATGGAATATGTTGGTACCGAGCCTGGCATAGACAAGTCCTTAGTAAGTGACGGTTTTCCTGCTTCTCAGGAGTATTACATTCACTGATCCATTCTAGGTCATGTGTCTGCACTAAATACTTCCCGAAGCACTGAACTGCTTAACATCCAGGGTACAAGAGCCCTTCCTTTAAAGCTCTCTTATTCTGATGGGTGGATTGGAGCAGAATTATGTGCTCAGCACTGGTATGGGTCACAACTCGGGCTCCAGAGCGGTCTCATTAAAAGGTGTAACTTCAAAAGCAGGATTGGGCTTACCCATCCCAGGAGATGTTTGCATTTTTAAAAGGGAAGAGCATTTATTGTACCTTATAGGGATGAATTGGGGACCTACCCCTTCCCTCTCAGGGTATTTTTGCTTGCCCTTCCTCCTTCCTCCTCCCACCTCTTCCTGCCCTCTCCCCCCTTCTCTAAACAAATGCAGATACCTCTCAGCACAAGAGGCACAGTGCCCATAGGGCCCCATTTCCTCACCTAGAGGAGTGGCACCACACAGAGATGTGCCCGGCTGAGCCCTTACTTAGGGAAAATGTGGTGAGGTTGACCTAGTAAACTGTAAATTACTGCCCAGAGATGTAGAGGGGCCTCTTCAGTATTGCTTGCAATTTTAGATATTTTAATGTTTGTTTTTAAACCTGAAGATCTCTTTTGTTTATATAATGTCAGTTTATATTGCTTTAGACTTTTAAAATGAGTGTAGAGGAGTACTTGAGGCACTTGATGTGTGTGTGTGTGTGTGTGTATGTATGTATGCATGTATGTATGAGATTCTCATTAAGAACTGTTTTTATTCATTTACATCAGTAGCAAAACCTAGAGGATTTAGCTGAGGTATAAAATGTCCTAGTTGTCCCAGAATTGGATTGTGGTTAATTGACCATAATAACAGCTAGTTTCCTAGAGCTAAAAATATTGAGGAGAGAATAACAGTAACAGTGAATGCATAACTTTGTCAGCAGTGGTTAGATATGTAAATACTGAGTGTTAGACTTAGAAACATGTTTGGCATAAAATTTAAGAAATCTATCTGAGAACCATTTGAAACAGTACTAGGGATACTTTTTCATTCAAAGCATGCTTTTTGTGCATTGTAACTTTCAACTTCCAATAACTTACCATTCTGCCTATGTAGCATTTTAATTGTTGTTGTTTTTCTTCAGCATATGGAAAAGTATTTCTAGTTCGTAAAATAAGTGGTCATGATGCTGGAAAGCTGTATGCCATGAAGGTTTTGAAAAAGGCAACAATAGTTCAAAAGGCCAAAACCACAGAGCACACGCGGACGGAGCGACAGGTCCTGGAGCACATCAGGCAGTCGCCGTTTTTGGTGACGTTGCACTATGCCTTCCAGACAGAAACCAAACTTCATCTCATTTTAGGTAAGTGTCCTTTGTCATCAGACTTTTTACAGAAATACTTTATTGTGGGGGAGGGAAATCTTGTGTTGTAATGAGTCACAGGGTAGCATATTTCAAACTTAGAAGAAACAAGTATTTTAACTTTCATTTTTCTCTTTGTGGTGGCATTTCCGTGAACATCCTGAGTTGCTCTGGATTTGGGACCTCCCAGCCTGCAGGGATGTTACTTCCGTTTCACACTCCTCTACTAATCTTAGGAAACACTTGAGCTGTCTACCTCCCTGGGCAGTGAGCTGTGAAGCGGGCCACAGTGTCCACTTCAGGAGTTCTCAGGGATGTACTGGTTTGGACTGATATTCATGGAAATCAGTAATTGGGAAAAATAAAAAAGAAAGAAAAGGAGATACCCAGGCACCCCTTTGATCACTCCCATTTCCCCCACAGGCACTTTCTGAATCCTTGCCTTTCCCAAACAGGCCTGGAGCGTTGTACATGAACTTTGGAATGTCCTCTGCACATACTGCTAGACTGCTGTGCAGGAGTCGCGCCCTTTTCTGTTCCTGCTAGAAGTAAAGGGCGGTTCTTCTAGTGCCACACTCTGCCATCACTGACTATTTCATCCGATACAGTTTCAGTCCGTTCTTGTGATAACTTGCATTTGTATATTTTGATCCTCCATTTTCTAACTAATCTGACGATGAGTTGAGACAGAATTCACACCATGCTCTGTAAGCATTAGCTGTTCTTGATGCCTACAGTGTGCCAGCACTATGCCAGGTATTATCCATAGCATTACTAACCCTCACAAAAACACTGCCCAAAACCCCTCATTCATGCTGTGGAAGGTTCTGGAAGCTGCATTTTTTGATGTTACATATGTTGTGTAAGCTTGAGAATGAAGACTGAAACTCAGGTCTGGTTCATACGAAAGTTTGCCAAACAGTGCCGTCTGTACTCTTGATTATTGGTAGTGCAAACAGGTTTTTAAATATATATTTGGCAATTTTATTGAATGCTTTCATTTTGGAAATTATAGTTTTATTAATGATGCCTTAAGTTGCATTTATTTACTTTTGATTCATGAAATTACACTTCAGGTTCATTTTGCAATGCTTTCCATCGACTTAAAATCCTGAGTCTTTTTTTTTTTTTAAATATGATTTTATTGATTTCAGAGAGGGAGAGGGAGAGAGAGATAGAAACATTAATGATGAGAGAGAATCATTGATCGGTTGCCTCCTGAACGCCCCCCCCCCACTTGGATCGAGCCTGCAACCCCAGCATGTGCCCTTGACTGGAATTGAACCTGGGACCCTTCAGTCCGCAGGCTGATGCTGTATTCACTGAGCCAAACCAGCTAGGGCAATCCTGAGTCTTTTGTACATATACTAGAAGCCTGGTGCATGGATTCGTGCATGGGTAAAACCGGCCGGATCTCTGCAAGCCAGGCCAAGGGACCCCACCCAGTTTCAGCCTGATCCCCGCAGGCCAGGCCAAGGGACCCCACCAGTACACGAATCTGTGCACTGGGCCTCTAGTATACATATAAGATCTTTGGTTAATCTCTTCCCGCCCTCCCGCCTCCCCGCTTCCCTCTAAGATTCATCAGTCTGTTCCATGTTTCCATGCCTGTGCGTTGAGCATCTGCCCCCCTGGTGGTCATTACGCATCATAGCTACTGGTCGAACCGTTGGATGGTTGCTTAGGCTTTTATATAGATAGACTAGAGGCCCAGTGCACAAATTTGTGCATGGGTGGGGCCGGCCAACGGGAGGGGCCATGGGCGGTTGGCGGCCGACCTGGGGCAGGCTGGCGGGGTGGGGGACAAACAGGCTGGTTGGCTGCTGCAGTGCACATCATAGCCACTGGTCTTTCTGGCCATTCTGCTGTTGCAGTCACTGGGCTTTTATAGGCTGCTGTCTCTCCTGTCCTGTCCAAGTCCCCACTCACTGCCTCTGCCTGTTGTTCCAGCAAGTAAATATCACTTGGCCCTTCATTTTGCATCCTGAGTGTATCTGCTCAGCTATGTTTTTCACTGATTTTTAAATGTTTTCCTTCTGAATGTTTAGCCCGTAGGGGACAGACCATTTTAATACAATGGTTTCAAACATTTTTAGCAGCAGAAACCTTCTCTCAATTGAGAGCAAGAACATTCAAATGGAAAACAAATAGGACTGAGTGCTCTGCTCGAATCTGAGCTCAAGGGCACCAAGCCCTGCCAGTTTATTTTTGTTCCTCACCCTCCCAGAATTTCCCAGGAAGCCTCGGGAGTCCATGAGGGCTGGTTCAGAAATTATTATCCTGTTCAGTCTTCTCCCTTTATAATAAACCAGCTCATAAAAGTTAAACCCCAACTCCTGGACTCGACCACCACACCATGGTTTCTCTCTCTGTCTTCTCTGTTCTCTTACCATAACCACTCAGTTTTTTGTTTGTTTATTGAAAATAGTGAGTGTAGTTTTTATAAATCATGTTTTTAATTTAAAAGTAGATGAATGAAATATTTTGTATTTGATTAAAAAACAATAGTCCTTAATAATGTTGCTTTGTAGTTGTTGGTTCTCCAGTGGTTTTGTTCTTTGCCAGTGGCCCATAAATAAATACAAAACAAAACAAGAAAACCCATTTCTGTGCCAGCTCAAGAGTAGAATGGGACTAGACATGTTCCATTGTAAGTGAGGCAGCGCATCCAGAAAGCGTGCCCCTCCCTCTATCCACATAGATTGTTTAATGTAATTTCTTTCCTTTATTAAATTTACTGGGGTGACACTGGTTAATCAAGTTTCATATAATTTCTCTTTGTGTATGTTTATAGTTGTTATTTTACTTTAAAGGCAAAAATGGCCAGACATCTAGAGTAGGGCTTTATTATACACTATTTTTGTGGTTTTCTGTTGGCTGTGCTTAGAAGACACACTAGGTCACTTTTCCAAGTACATTAGGTAGTCTGCTAGGGCTGCCATAACAAAATATCACAGGTAGGTGGCTAAACAGCAGAAATTTATTTCCGCACAGTCTGGCGGCTGGAAGTCCAAGAGCGAGGTGCGGCAGGGCTGGTTTCTTTTGAGGACCACAAGGAAAGGGTCTGTTCCAGGGTTTTCTCTGTGACTCGCGGATGGCCACCCTCTTGCTGCCTTTTCACATGGTGGGACTTCGGTGCACTCAGACTCCTAGTGTTGCTTTTGTGTTCAGAGTTCCTCTTATGAGGACACCAGTCAGGTGGGATCAGGGCCTTCCCTAAGGGCCTCATTTTAATAACTGAATTACCTCTTTGAAGGCCTTGTCTCTAAATACGTACATTCACACTCTGAGGTCCTGGGGGTTAGGGCTTCAATGTATGAATTTTGGGGACAGGGGGACACAGTTCAGCCTGTAACTGTCTCTAAAGGTTTATTGATTAACTGACCTTATTCAGGTTTGTGTACTATTAGAGGTTAATAGCAAGAATTTAGATACTGAGCTCTTCAGGGACCCAGCTGACCTTTTTGTCTGATGAATAAACAAACTCTATAGACCTTTGTAACAAATACGATATTTAAAAAATTATTTTATGTCTACAGAGGCATCTATATGCATATAAAAGATATTTAAAAAAAATAAGAAAAAACTATGTTCACTACCCAGAATTTACCTTGTTATATTTCCCTCTGTTATTAATTAGTATATGTCTATCTAGCTCTTTTTGCGTGTGTGTGTCTGCATGTATGAATATTTTACCAAAATTTGTAACCAGATCTTTTTTTCAGTTAATGATGTCTACTTTTTCTGGTTAGTACATTTTTATTTCATAATACCCAATGCAACTTATTTGCAACTTATTTATTGTGCAACTTATTTATTGCTGGATAACAAACCACTCTTAAATTTAGTTGTCCAAACAATGAGTTATTTTCTCAATTCTGTAGCTCTGCTGGACAGATTTCTGCTGGTATAGCCTGGACTCACCCATGTGGTAGTCAGCTGGAGAGTTGGCTGGGATTAATGGTTCTACTCTCGTGTCTGACAGTTGGTGCTGGCTGTTGGCTGGGGCGTCTCTCTTCTCCATGTGGCCTCTCATCCTCCAGTGCAGCAGACCAGCTTCTCCTTAGCATGGCAGTCTCCGGGCAGCTCATGAAGACTGCCCACAGGGCCAAGGCGGAGGGTGCGAGTCCTCCTGGGGAACCCTGGAACTCATCTAGCCTCTCTTCTAACACAAGGCCAGCCGAGATTTAATGGGTGAAGAAATAGACTTCATTTCTTTTTCCTTCTTAAAAAAAGATTTTTAAAAACTGAGTAATCATTGACAAACATCATTATATTAGTTTCAAGTGTAAAACATAATGATTCGATATTTGAATATATTGAAAAATAAGTCTAGTTAATATCTGTTACCATACAGTTATAGTATTTTCTTGTTGCTGTTGTGATGAGAACTTTGAGGATTTAGTCTTAACTTTCATATTTGCACTACAGTATTTTTAACTATAGTCACTGTATACGTTACATCCCCATGACTTACCTATTTTGTAGCTGGAAGTTTGTACCTTTTGGCTCTTTCACCCATTTTGCCTCCTCCCCTCACTTCTGACAACCACCAGTCTATTCTCTGTATCTGTGAGCTTGTTGGTCTTTTAAAGATTTCACACATAAGTGAGATCATCTGGTATTTGCCTTTTCTCTGTCTGACTTATTTCACTTGGCATAGTGCCCTCAGGGTCCACCTATGTTGTCGCAAGTGGCAAGATTTCATTCTTTTTAGGACTGATCAATATTCCCTTGCATGTATGTACCACATTTTCTTTATCCATTCATTCGTCAGTGGGCACTTAGGTTGTTTCTGAGCCGGTCCACAGCATGCTGTTTGGTGTGGTTGGGTTTTATTTCTCTCTAAGTTTTGCTGAAAGTGTAGATCATGGAGGTTTACAGTCATTCTTGGTGTTCTCTGAGATATTTTGGGAGCAGATGTGGAGATTCAGTTCTCTCTCGGTTGCTGTCCTGCTCCTACGTGGATTCACGGCTCACTAGATGTTTGACCAGGCTTG